GAGCAGGCGTAAGTCAAGAAATCGATGTGTGGGGCACTTTCAGAATTCCTCTAAATGCAGTACCCATCCCATCCCTTCAAAGAAAGTGGGGGAGGGAGAGAGGGACACTCCCTATTTATTTCTAAAGTTTGGGTGTTAGTTATAAGCCCGGGGCTCCTTTGAAAGGGGGAGGGGGATGTGAGACCCCCGGGACTATCCGCTTTAAAACGGAATGAGAGGTACTCAGACGCACCCAGAGACCAGGCAAAGGAGGACCAGAGGAATGATTAGGGCGGTTGGGGGGGGGGGGGGAAGCCGGAGCCGAAGGGAGGGGCGGCGGGAGCCCGGAGCTGGAGCTGGAGCTGGAGCCCAGCCTGAGGTGGCCGCCACCGGCTTTTCTGCGCCACGGGTTTCAGGGACGGGGTTGGTGCGCCCCCTACTGGCGCGAGTTTTCCCCGAGAATTGCGCTTATCATTTTAAAAAGAAAAACGTTAGGAAATCTTCATCTTCACCCTAGAGGAGGGATGGGTGGGGTGGTGAGAAGCAAAATTAATTACAAGTAATTTTTATCAACAGATTGGTGTGTGTCCCTCAGAGGCGAGCACGAGTCTGATTCAATTTACTCAACTACTTAACGGCGGTCTAATCCCTGGGCTAGAACTAGGGAGGGTGAAAATTAGGGACACCTCTTCTCCTGGGTGTGTGCACTTGATCACATCATCCCTCCACCCCCGGGTCCTTTCTCCCCCTCCCTCCTCCAATCTCGCAGATTAATTAAGTTTGGGCCGGAGGTGGGCTGCAATGGGGGTGGCCATGGGTGGGGTTGGTTTATTGCAAGAAACTGATAACTGGTGCCCTTGGAGACCTGAGTACATTATGGTCCGGGCTTCTCGGGATGGGCTATAGGGAGTTGGGGCCACAGGGAGGGTTTGCTCACTCAACTGAGGCAGCCGGAAGATTCCTTCCCACCCCCACCTCCGATAACCAGATGCAAGCATTTATGCCTGAACTCTATAATAATGTATTTAAGAGGTGAAAGGGGCTGGCTTGGGCCTCAGCTAATTGCGTTGATCACATAAATGGGGGTGGGGGGGAGAAATGCGTCACAATTGGGTCCTCATTGGCTGCATTTATTTTCAGCTTTGTTTTAATTAAGCGCGTTTGACTTATCCGCGCAATGCAACTAACTGTCGCTGGCATTCAGGCGTGAGAATAACGTGCTGGGGAAAATCAGGAGCCACTAAGGGCGCGGAAACCCCTTTTCCCACTAGACTTCTGACGACGTGTGTATTTACAAAATCGAATCCCTGGCCACACCATTGAAACCCACGGCCATCACTCAGCCCTAAATACTCATAACCTCCAACCCCAAACGCTGGCGCAAGCGCCCGGGTCCCACAGTCCTTCCTATTAGCCTGCTGCATCGCTAATAACCACCCTCCATGCACTCCTCAGGAAGAGAACGAGACTTAAGACAGGGCTCTTCATTCCGGGATCCTTTAACTTGTTGTCTTTGGTGTAATTTATGGAGACGGAAAAGCGCTTATAGGAAACAGGAAAAAAATATCCCTTTCCCTCCTTTCCCTCCCTTCCCTCTTCCCCCACCTTCCAAAGGATGGGAAATAACTCTTCCACACTTTTATTGCTAGATTAGACAGCTTAAAAGGTTGGGGGGGCGGGGAAGGAACCGGAGACTCCTGGAATATTTTGCCTTCCTTTGGTTCTGGGACCGGCTCTAGGTAAAAAGCCCTTTAGAATCCCCCAAAGAAACAACCTCTTGTGGTAAGTGGAAATCTAACTTCTTAATTTAAGTTTATTTTTTTTTTCTGCGTGTCCACTCCCTTCTCCTGCACCCTCCCCGCAGCAGTAGCATATCTAAAGCTAATTATCAAACAATTTTGTTCATCGAAAGAACCGCAGACCTATTTTTTCTCCCTAGCGGCAAATAGAGGTTTAACTTGCGGTAATTAGGTGAGAACTAGCCTAGCATCTTACTATTATGATGCTCGTTAAGAGACGCTTCGTTTCTGCATCTGCATCTGAGAGCTCTCCCCTCCACTCTTAATCTTCTTATGGAAATGAAGGCGAGCGGCAGGGAACCCGCAGTCTTGGAGAATGTCCTTGTTAACTGGAATTTCTCAGCATTGCTAATTAGCAGAGTTTGACGACCACCAGTATTGGGGGAGAGCTCTGTTTAACGACGCGCAAACCCTTCCGAGGAAGAGCAGACTAATTTTATTTCGTAATTAAAATCTGAAAGGGGCCCTATTTGACAGTGAGGACCAGGAGAGTTTTATCTCTCGGCGAAATAATCATTGGCTTGATAACTTAATTTTCGCAGAAATGTCAGCTGGATTCTCCAAAAGTTTTAATTTGAGAGAGAGAGAGAGAGAGAGAGAGAGAGAGAGAGAGAGAGAGAGAGAACGAGAACAATTCGGAGAGGGTAGACAAAATGTCCTGAACCTGAAAATAGATTGGGGGTCGGAGTGAAAACTAACTTAGCCAAACCAAGTTCCACTCGCCCTTCTCCCCCCACCCC